AACAAGGAAGGGTCAGGAATGACTCCAAGTTTGCTAACCTGGGTAACTAAAAGGATGACAGGGCTTTAGTCCAGGGATATTTCCTCCATTATCACACTGCGATTGTTTAGTGGAGAGGAATAGAAAGAGTATTTTAGAACTTACTGATGAGCATCATTGTGTCTGAATTAGACTTCAGAACTTGGATGTGTATGGTACTTTGTATACATTTGGCTTTTTAAAAAAATATACTCATTGGGGGCAGCTAGGTGGCGCAGTGGATAGAGCACTGGCCCTGGGTTCAGGAGGACCTGAGTTCAAATCTGGCCTCAGACACATAACACTTACCAGCTGTGTGACCCTGGGCAAGTCACTTAATCCCCATTGCCCACCCCCCCCCAAAAAAATATATATATATACTCATCAATCACTATTTATTCAAGTGCTCATATAGGAACTTTATGTACATTTGTGCCAAATCAGATACTTAGGTCTGATTTTGTGCCTGCTTAAGGATGAAGTCAGACATACTAAGCAAAGTTAGTATTAACCAAATAACAAAGTAACAATAATTTTCCAGAGAATTCATTCTTTACCAAAGCCTACCGTGATTCTCAGACTCTTTTTTCATCTGATCTCACGCTTATACACGTGCCAGTATGCACATACATGTGTACATACACACACACACATACATACACACACACACTGCAGCCTTTGTTTTTCAGTACATTGTATTCCTAGAAGCTACATTCTAGGCCAGATTTTCCTTATTCCATAAGTAGTCCGGAGTTGCCTTTCTATATCAGTTTCTGTATCAGTTAATAGGGGAAAAGTGAACTGAGGATACTTTGTTTACATGGGAGCTAGTAGAAATTGATGAAAGACTCAAAATGATGAATGATCAGGAGGCAATGAAAATGTAAATCAAAGGTTTCCCAAGGCAAAGCTGGGTCTGAGTCCTATCAGATGAGCAGAAAAGTAAAATGTAGGGGGGTCAAAAGCCCTGACTGCCTGTATTTCCAAACTATTTGTATTGGCCTTACATCTTGTGGGGGGAAACAGCGTGTATGAAGGCACCTAAGCTCTGCTTTGAAGGAAGCTTGGGATTCTTTGAGACAGAGATGCAGAGGGAGAGCGTTCTCGCATTTGGCATAGCCCATGTATGAAGAGAAGAGATGATGTGTTGTGTATGAAAGATAATAAGAGGGCCAATCTGGCTGTAACGTAGTAGGGTATATGAGAGAAACTAATGTATATTAGTTTCAAATCAAACAGAGGAATTTGTATTTTTCTCTAGAGACCATACGTTTCTGGAGCAGGGGAGTCTTGATCAGAAATGCACTTTAGGAATGTCAGTTTGATACCTGTGTGGAGGATGGTTTGGGGAGAGAAGAGACTAGAAGCAGGGAGATCAATTAGGAAGCTATTGCAAAAAACCTTTAGATGAGGAAAGATGAAGGCCTGAACTAGAATTGTAGCTCTATGGGTGGAGAATGGAGGGGACATATAGAAGAGATGTTGTAGATGCAGAATTAATTGATAAGACTTGGCAACTTTTTTGGATATGGAGGATGAGGAAGCGTGAAGAATCAAGGATGACTCAAGGGTTGTAAACCTGAGTACCTGGAGGTATGGAAATATCATGGATAGAAGTAAAAATGAGTAAAAGTTGGGGAGAAGATAATAAGCTCTATTTTGGACATATTAACTTAAGATGCCTTATGGGACATCCAGGTAGAGATAACTATCATATCAATGATGGGGATTCAAACAAGGAAAAAGAGAAAGGTTGAATATATAGATTTGGTTCAACATTAGGAAAACTGTAAACGTAATATGACCATAGAAATAACACAAAATAAAAACAAAGCCATGTGATAATATCAACAGATGCAGAAAAAGCTTTTGACAAAATACACTTATCTATGTTAGAAACATTAGAAAATATAGGAATTAATGATCTTTCCTTTATATAGTAAACTACTGAAAAACAAAAACTAGAATTATCTGCAATGGAGAAACACTAGAGGTCAAGGGTAAAGCAAGGATAGCCATATTCACCACTAATATTTAATGTAGTTCTAGAAATGTTAGCTAGAGCAGTAATCCAAGAAAAAGAAATTGACATCATCAGTGTTGGTAATGAGGATACAAAATCATTACTATTTGCAGATGATAGGATTATTTACTTAGAGAATCCTAGAGAGTCAACCAAAAATTAGCTGGAACAGTAACTTGGATATAAAATAAACTGCCAAAACTTGTTAAAATGTCTGTAATATCTAACAAAACTAGAAGAGATATAAAAAGAAAGTCCATTCAAAATAACATTCAAGACTTAACCATATACAACTAAAAACACTCTTTACAGAAATAAAGACAAATAATTGGAGAAATATTAATTCTTTACATATATACTATGCAAATATACTATAAATTATAATACTGTCTAAATTAATTTGCAGGTTAAATATAATACTATTCAGAGTACCAATGGGGCTACTTTATATAACTATACAAAATAATAACAAAATTAATCTAGAAGAGCAAAATGTCAAGACTCTAAAGAGAATTAATTTTTTTAAAAAAAGGTAAAAATCAAGGGAGCTTAGCAGCATCTGATTTCAAACTATACTACAAAGCAGTTACCATCCAAAACATTTGGTACTGATTAAAAAAATAGAAAAGTTGATCAGTAGAACAGATTTAGGTAAGCAAAGTTCAGAAATATCTTAAAACAGCAATGTGTTCAATAAACCCAAGGATACCAACTACTAGGGTTATGTCTCTATAGCAAAAAACAAACAAACAAACAAAAAACCCAGCCTGCTTAGAAAACTGGAAAGTAGTCAGATAGAAATTAGTTTTAAATCAGTATCTTTAATCACGTAGCATAATAAATTCTAAGTGGAAATATGACCGAATGATAGCTACATCCACCCTTATGTACACATATCCACGCGTACATTCTAGGCTGGGTGTGGGGAATCTGTGGTGGCAAGGCCGCATGTGGCCCTCTAGGCCCTAAGGGCTGCACTTGAAGACTTAGAGGGCCACAAGTGCCCTCTAGGCTACAGGTTCCCCACACCCTCTAGGTAACTGTGCTAAGTAAGCACTAGTGATTCAAATACAAGAAAGCAGGCTTGTCCTTATTCTTAAGGACCATAGTCTAGTGGGGGAAGACTTGTAAAGGTTAGGGGTAAGGGGCGAGGCTGCCTGTGATGTAGAGCAGTCTAATAGTGAGTAAACTGAGAATGAATCAAGCAGAACTGGAGTTTCTGAAGAAATATTGATCTCCTATAAAAAAATTAAAGGAAATAGATATCTTTTACAACTATATATGAGAGAGAACGTTTGCCTGAACAAGGCATAGATCAAAAAAGATAAGATAGAAAATTTTGATTACATAAAATTGAAAAGCTTTAGCACAAATAAAATAAATGCATTTATAAATAGAAGGAGAATGACTAGGAAAAACTCAGCAGGTTTCTCTAATAAAATTAGGTCCAGTGTTCAACTTATATAAAGAATTGATACAAAGATATGAGAACAAGAATTATTCTCCATTAGATAAATGGCCAAAGGATATGAGTAAGCCAGTTCTCAAATAAAGAAATACCCATAAATAAACATGGAAAAACACTTCAAATCACTAATGATTAGAGAAATGAAAGTTAAAACGATTCTGAGGTTTTTGCTTTGTACCCATTAGCTTGGCAAAGATGATGAAAGGACAATTATTGGAAGGGATATAAGCAAAAAGTAATGTTAATATACATCTGATAAGTCACTAAACTGTACTTAACCTTTGACCCAGTGATGCCACTGTTAGCCATCCGTACCAAGGATAAAGAGAAAGGACCTACATGTACAAGAGTTTTTCCAATGACACTTTTTGTAACAGCAAACAATTAAAAACAAAATCTGTGCCAAACTTTTGAGGAATGGCTGAACAAGTTGTTGTATAGGAATGTAATAAGAGTATTATTGTACCATCAGAAATGAAAAATATGATAAATTCAGAGGAACATGGAAAAATTTGAACCAATTGTTGCAGAATGAAATGAGTGGGACTAAGAGAACAGTTTATGTGATGGTAACAATAGTTTGAAAAACGCCGATTTTGATCAAAGCAGCAAACAATAATTATTTCATGAATATACTTCTCACCACTTGAGATGCATAATAATTAATAATATTACATAAAACATATGAGCAATTAGTTATCTATTATGTATATTGGAGAAGGAAATGGCAAACTCTCTACTATCTGCCAAGAAAACCCCAAATGAGATCACAAAGAATAACACATAACTGAAACAACTGAACAACAACAACAAATATGTGTATATAATATTTTAACATAACATTATACCCATAATATGTAATAATCCACTATTCTCAGATATGGCCAATGCATTGATTTGTTTTGCTGAACTATATACATAATTTATTAAAAGAGAAGGCTTCTACTTGGGGAAGTCAATGGGAAGTGGGAGTAAAAACACAAAAATCAATAAAACATTTTTCAAGACACATAAGAAAACAAAAAAAAAACATAGAGAGGACATGGACAAATGGACCTGTTTTGTTACTACCGTGTGTGTGTGTGTGTGTGTGTGTGTGTGTGTGTGTGTGTGTGTGTATACCTACACCCCCACCCACGTATATGTATACCTATATGTGTTTGTACCCATATACATATAGAGACAAAGTTAAAAAAACAATATTTACATGCAAGATCATGGTTTCTTTATGCAAGCCTCTTACTCTTTTCTGCGTATGAAAGTATTTAAATTGCTGGTGGCCGTTAAAACTCACAAATTATTTTTTCATATAAAAAGATATATGTAGATTTGACAAATGTTTGTACGATTGAATTTAACAACTTCACGCAAAACTAGAAGGAACTTTTCACCAAGCATAAAACTCTCTTCCTGGAGAGCGCATGCTATTCACTATTGTACTAAGGATGAGTGTCTGAGAACACCAGCGGAGGAGCCGTGCCCTCTTCTTACCAGTAGTTCCTGGCTCTTCCTTATTCCTCTGACTTCAAGTTCCAAAACAGTATCCCTCTTTTTCTTCACCATCTCCAAAGGGTTTTCAGTTTCTTCCTAAAGAAACAAAGATGGATTAGGTGTCTGTTTTCAGCTTTGAGAACTTCTTCTTCTTCTTCTTCTTCTTCTTCTTCTTCTTCTTCTTCTTCTTCTTCTTCTTCTTCTTCTTTTTTAAGGCAATTGGGGTTAAGTGACTTGCCCAGGGTCACACAGCTAGTAAGTGTTAAGTGTTTGGTCTGAGGTCCTCCTGACTTCAGGGCTGGAGTTCTATCCACTGCGCCACCAAGCTGCCCCTTGAGAACTTCTAAAAGTCAGGATGCTGCTCACTGACTTCAACTTAGATTCAGTTTAAAGTAAGTATATCATCGTACGGAATCATTAAGTTAGGAGGAACTTAGCGATTGCCTAGTCTACACCATCATTGTACAGATGATGAAACTGAATCCCAGCTAGATGAAGTGATTTGACCCAAGTCACACAGCTGAACAGAAGAGCTGAATCTATTGTCCTCTAGCTTCCTAGGCCAGTGATCTTTCCACTATTTCATACTGTTACATTCATGCTTCCCAATTTAAAAGAGTAGTTGGTAGGGAATGGGAAGTTCTGAGACTAAAGGCCTGGAGAATAGGTTTGGATTCCCTGATGGAACTAAAACTTGGGAATCAGAATACAGTATTGCCTTGAAAGGCTGGGGTGATATAAAGGACGCTTTGGCAACCTTTCACTAGTGGTTCAAGGTCCTGCCCCTCTATTCTTTTGGTGTACGGGTAGACAGAAGATGCTGGTGAATGTGAGAAGTGGAATGCTGGTATTAACTCTCACAGGGATGAGGTTTCATTGTTCTAATTCTTTTGGGAGGGTGACCAAAGCAACTTGGGATGTGAGCAGAAGATGCCTTGGGTCCCTCCCCATTCCCCTTTTTTCATTGCCCAAGGCATATGTGACCTGCTCTATTTCTTATTTTACATAGCTTCTTACAGCAGCACCCTCACCTACTGACCCACACCTAAGACTAGCCCTCCTTGGAAGAATCACATACTTTCCCAGTCCGTTTGTCACCATTCAGTATTGACCTGTCTCTTTCTCAGAGGTACCAGCTAATATTTGTAATTAGTTCTACCATTTTAACAGAGAATTACCCAGAGGAGTAACTCTATTGGTAGGAATTTTGTAGGAGAGAAATTTGGGAGCTGGGTAGAACTTTTAGCATTTTAAAAATCATACCATTTTGGCTGTACATAAGAGGAGCCAGCCATATGTCACTGACGATGTCTCTAAGCCCTCCCCTGGGTGAAAGACTACAGCAGAGTGTATCCTAATAAAGGAGAGGGGTCCTGAGACATTGGTGTATGTCACTCCATGTCTGGTGTATGTAGTACCATGTCTAAGTCCTGATACCATAGAAATGGCATTGTGACCTCTGCAACCTTCTACCCACTAGGAGCAGGACTGAGGAAGTTGTGCTGGGCAAATCTCATTTCTGTGCTGGTTCAGCTATAGTGTGGTTTAATGGAGTTAGGCCAGGTTGTAGAGGGTTCCAAGGTACCAGTAGGGTACTTTGCGTTACGCTTACATGATTTCCAAGTGTTCTGCAGACCCCTGTCCTGATGGAGGCAATGAGAATTTACCACAAGAGGAAAGAAGGTGAAGTTAACATTCTGTGATCATAGAGCGTATCAAATTGTGAATCTGGGAAGAAAGTGTCTGCCTGATTCCTTAAAGGGTTCAGTGCTCTGTTGTTTCTGATCAAGCATAAAAGATGTTTTTCTGTCTAGCTTCTAATGGAAAAAATATAACTAGTACAGTCATGCTGTAAAACAAGCCATTCTGTCCTCAGAAACTTTACAGGATGAGCTTATGGTTTTTTGCCGCTCTGTAACCAGGTTGCACTCCAATCTGAACAACCCATTCTCTTTCTCTGACAATCATTCTTGGAAGCATGCTACATTGGTTCAGGTACTTGACTCATGGAACTATTTTTGTTGTTGTTCTCTCTCATATTACTTTACAATAATTCTGTAAAGAGAAAGTTCAGCTGCCTTGAAGGCGCTGATGGCCTATGAGACAAGTTCCCATTGAATATGTCTCCCTCCTTTTTTTCTTGTATATTCCCTCAAAGTTGTCCCCCAAAATGAAAGGACGGTTTCCTATTTGAATCAGAATACTAACTCTGTAGCTTACAGGAAGCCTCATGACTAGGTAGCATAATGTATAGCTTGTGTTTCTGGGACAAGGGGCTCACTATGCAGGGGGAACTCCTTTGTTTCCAAAATGTAGTTTCTGTGTCTTCAGGTGATTTTTGGAAATCTCTCTGGTGAGGGGTTCCACTGACTCCTATGACTGTAAGTGCTTGACAATCCTTGAAGCTCTCAGGCTGGAAGATCTGCCTACGCCGAGGGCACAATACATTTGTGAAACCTCCCTTTCCTCACAGCAGGCCCAATAGAACTTGTGGCCATTGTCTTTGATCACTGGATACTGGAAGGATCCAAGCCAGATGGGACAAAGGGACTTGTTTGAGTGGTACAGCAAGATATGAGGTTGTCACTGCTATAAAGGAAAAGAGAACAATAGTCCTGGGGAAGTTTCACTTTCTTCAGCTCAGAACATAAGCTATTGGCTGGTTGTTCTCCTCAACTTGCCCCCAAGTGTAATTGAAACTACTTGTCTGAGAGAGAAGCTGCTCAGGGCCTTTCTGTCCTTGAATCAAAGCCAAAGGAAAAACAGTCTTTCCTGCCAGTTTCTGCGGTTTTTATTTCGCAGCTCTGCAGTGACTTGTTTCTTTCAGGGCTGGAGAAAAGAAGCCTGTCTTCAAATAAAATTGCATCAACTCTTGAAAACTGGGGAAGAAAAACTGTAGGGGAGGGGCAGCTAGGTGGCACAGTGGATAGAGCACTGGCCCTGGGTTCAGGAAAAACTGTAGGGAATGTGACCATAAATGTAAAAAGTCCTCCATTTTTTAGATCATGATGAAGCTCTGGAGATTGGGGAAAGGATCATAGATTTAGAATGGATAGCCTTCTTTTACCTCTATTTAAATGAGAAAACTTTAAGTCAAGGGAGATGGGGGTTAAGTGACTTGTAGGTGTCGGGTAGGTTTTGAACCCAAGTTCTCTGCTTGTAGGAGCAGAGCTCTGTCCATGCTACCAGAAGGGGTGGTTCTTTGAAAAACTGAAATGCTGGCCCTGGAAAGAAATTTCTTGGGCTATAAGGTAACAATTTCATATAGTGATATAGTATTACAGATTCCTCAGTATACCATCTCATAGTGCAGCTATAGTAAATCTGGTTTCCTGTAGGTTGGTAGTACCTTTTATGCTATAGAGTGGTCAGATTGACCCTTTTTTCATAGCATCATAGGTTTTGAGTCTGAGACTAGAACTAGAGAGATAATTTCTTTGGGAACTCTGTAGGGTACCTATAGAGAGCATGAGGCAGCTCTAGGCAGATAAATTTGCTATGCCATTGATGATAGAGTAGGCTCTCAATTTGACAGAAAAAATATCTGAGATATGACTGAAGTAGCAGAGAGATCTATTTGAGAATAGAAATGGTTGATTATCATTTAAGCCATGAAGTCATTACCTCAGAAGAGGCAGACATGGCTTTGAATTAGAGAGAGTCAAGCCTCTCATTGACTAGTAATGACTCTGGCAGGACTACGGCAAGTGTATGGGTTCACAAGAGTGAGGTAGCTCCCTAAATGTAAGGAGGTTTTGTGAAGGCAAATAAAAATGATGGTGTAGTGGATTAGAGAGAACCTAGGTTCAAGCCCTGCCCCTGACAGACACAGGCTGTGAAGTCCTAGGTGAGTCACCTAATCTATCAGTATAAGACAATGTTACAGAACAGTCACAAATTTACATTGGCTGGGAATCCCCCCTTCTCCCCCAAAAGGAAGCTTCCTACACAATGAGATCACAGGTCTAAATACACACACACACACACAAAGAAAAAAAGAAAAGAAACAGTGTAACCTTGGGTATAAAAATGGAAGAGGGGACCCAAATTTTAACCAGACTATTCTACCTACCCCAGTGACCTAGAGCAAGAAAATTTGCCCTGGTCCAAGAAGACAGCTGCTTTCAAAGTGTGGTCTGTGGCCTGTTAGTGGTCCACACAAGGACCTTCAGGTGGTTTCTATTCTAAGCACATAAAAATATAGATTATCTATTCATAAAAGTGTTTCCCTTAGATTTAATTCCAGATTTAAAATTCCCCAAATGAACATTTAAAAATGTAACCACACTAATGGTTGTTTATCCAGGCAAAAATTTCATAACAAACAACTTGTTTTATTTGAAGTGGCAAGTGGAAGCAGGTATTTTATTGGTGAGCTATAGAGCCTGGTACCCTGCCAAAAAGGCGTGCAGTTAAAAATTACTGAGGACTGGGATTCAGGAAGGCTGGGTTCTACTACCAGCTCCATCTTGCTGGAAGGACCACAGAGTTCATTTCCTCCCTATCTCATTTTTACTACCTTTAGAAGAGAGATCATTAATTCTGCCCCATTTTTCTTACTGTAGAACTGTAAGGACCAGCATTTTGGCATCCGTTAAAGGATTCTGGAAAGATATAAAAGCTAAAGAGAGGGGAGGATCTACCTCAAGAGTTATAAACACAGGTCTTAAAGAGGAAGTAGCAAATTTCTTGGGTGAAACAGACAACTGAAATTGGGGATAGGTAGGTGGTAGAAACAGGGAAGAATAGGTAGTTTGGTGCCCAGGAAGAAAAACTGAGCCGGGTGGGAAACTAGATAATTTAGCAGGTTTTTTCATGGCTACACACAGAGACCCTATACCCTGGATATTAAGGGAGGGATCAAATAACTTGGGATAACCAAATTTTATGTGGTTTCCACTGAGTTATCTTGGAATTTGAGGCCACTCTCAAAATGGAACTTATGATTCTCTCAGGGAATACTGTGGATACTAGGCTTTGTTCTACTCAGATTATTTTTCTGTTGGAAGTTATGATGCTTTAGGGTCAAGGATTCATACCAAGGGTGCAAGATGCTATCAGTGTCCTTCATACTTAGGAATACGGGGTGACCTTTGGGAAAATTGGGATCAAGATATTCTATTCTCCTTATATCAGAAGATCCCTGGACTCCTCAAAAGGCCAAGAGGAGTTCCATTGCTGTGGTGTGGAAGTCTTTGGCAGGACAGGTCTGTGAAGACGACCTATGGGCAGTAGATAAGGGAGACTTGGAAGGAAGGGAGGAAGAGAGATGTAGGTAGTCAGCTCTTTGTGGGAATAACTCACTGAAGTCCTTTCTTTCATTGCCAATGGTGGTACTGGTCAGACTTGAAGAGTGGGAGGAAGGGGAAAGCAAAATGGACCTTTGGTCAGAGCCAGCTAAGGATAGAAGGCTGGGCAGGAGATTGTCAATCTTTGGTCTCAGTCTTGTTTGAACATCTTCCTCATGTATACAGCTAACATGGGCTAGCTTATGGCACTCACAGTGGTCAGCCTGGTGTGTCAAGGAAGTACAGAAAGGAAAAAAACCAGAAACCTTTCTGGCCTCAGTCAGTAGAGGATGAAGGGTAAGAAAATTCATTCATTCTAGAAGCAGAGATACTATTTTCTTGGTAGTTTGAGATCCGTTCTCATTGCTGTCCTTTGAGTGGTAGTAAAAGGCATTGGCAGTGTGAGCATCTTACCTGTGGATGCAGAGGTGACCCCAAATATACACCTGAGACAACACATTTATCCAAAAGGGATAAAAAAAACTTTCTCCCCAAAGCCTCATTGATCAGATTTGGGTGGACAAGAACCCCATGTGCCAGGCCTTGTGAAAGGGTGGTCATACTTGTTTGCAGATTCCCCAACGTGTCCAACATATTGATCCTTGATGTTGCCTAGTTCTTGGTTAGAAACATGAATGAGTAAATGCTACTGGAGTTTGCTTGAGCATTTACCTAAAATATTAAAATAGAGCTATTTTGGCCTTGATTTTCAAAGAGAAAAATTTGGACTTCCTGCTTCAGAAATTAGGGGCATCTCATCTTATTTTGCCAACCAAAGGGTCCTCTCTTAATCATGTGGTAACATCCCCATCAGATGGAATTTAAATATTCTGCCCAAAGGACAGACATTTGTGGGTATTGTATTTTCCTAACTATGGGCATAAACAAGGAAGCAACCTTACCCATATTACAAAGTCTTCTATGCTGTTGACATTCATGTTATTCCTTCTTTATCCCAACCCATCCCTTCAACATGTAGGACCAGCCTTTTGAGTGTTTGGGTCACTTGGCTCCGCAGGAGTCAGGCAAAAAAAAAGAAACAAGAAAACCATTGTAGTCATTGTGTTATACAAATATATGTATATTGTTTACTTATTGTAAATA